TGGAGGATATCCAGACCAGAATAAAATGCTACAACAGAAGATTATTTATTTGTTTTCATAAATTCAAAAATCATGTGCCATTTGATATTTGAGAATTTACCCACCAACGGGTAGACAAAGTAAGTGCAATTTGGGTTAGAATATTACACTAAACTATAACCCACAAACCCATCTTACATTGCTATAGCAAACATACCTACCGTTGAGAAAAGGAGTAATTGCACACATGTCCTCTGTAATATGTTGTTTGGAACTTATTGCGTATATATAATTTGATTTTAGAAGATAGGCCCAAACAAATTAGGGTTTAGTTCCTTCATTACGTGGGATTGGGATATTAAGTCCTAGTTTGGTTAATTTATTTCAGTTCATCATGGGATTGGGATTAAAATTACATCAGACTAAAGTGGCCCTCTCCTCTGAATGTTTCAAGAAAATACTATTAGCCGCCAAAATATTACAAATAGGTCGATGAAAGTTTTAAAAATTTACGACAAAGGTCTTAAAAGTTTTACAAATAGATCCCTCAAAGTTTTAATCCTGCAAAATTTTCTAAACTTACGAATAACCCCTTAATCAACATATTATATAATACACTATAAGCAGATCAATGGTGCGGGGAACTAATAAGTTGAGGGTTGGTGGAACTTTCTAAATATGTATTTTGAGGATTAGATTAGAGAAAAGTTCTACTTCCATCCATGTCAGTCTGAACAAATTAATCCCAGACGATTACACCAAACAATCCCGGACGAGTAACACACTAACACCTAGGGGTGTTAACGGAGCGGATACGATTTGGATATGACACTTATCATATTCATATCCGCTTACCCATCTCGGATACGGATATGGATACGGATATACATCGGTAAGAAAAATTCATATCCATATCCGCCAAAATCGGATATGGTTACGGATATAGATGCGGATATATAAACGGATATGTATGCGGATACAAAAAGGATATTAGAAAACTAGATAGTGTTCAGAAAAATATAGGCATGTGATACAAAAAGAGTTCGTTAATATGTTCATTATGATTGAAAAGCTAAGATTAGACATCTTGATCATCAAAATTAATCACAAATCCATAATCTAAGACTCGAAACTATCGTAAGAGTATGATCAATATGTATTCGGATATTTTCGGATACGGATATGGATATTTTACTACAAAACCATATCTGTAACTATATCCTATCGGTTATAGATTTGAGTAACCATATTCGTAAACTAACGGATACGGTTACGGGTATTTCCTCGGATACTGATACGGTTTGGCACCCATACTAACACCCCACCATGAGCGCTTGAATTGGGTTAGAATCAGGCATCAACCCGACCCACACGCCCCCAGTTCAACAATCAACACAGTGCGGCGCACCAAAAGAAAGAAAAGGGGCAACAAAAAAAAAGACATCTCTGTCGGACGCTTAAGCCCTCTCAAAACCCCCCCATCCCCAGCCGGCGGCGAAATCTAGTTCCCGCCGAGCGCAAAACGATGAAAAATTTGTCAATCCGACCGCTAACGCCGGCGGCGAAATCTAGTTCCCGCCGAGCGCAAAACGATGAAAAATTTGTCAATCCGACCGCTAACATGGGCTTCGGCTGCATCAAGAAGGCTACTATCCTCGTCGCCAGCAGCGGCGCTCGAACCCTCGCCGTCAACTGCGGAGATCGCTGAGAAAAGAAGTTTGGCGGAGGTGGAAGAGGACAAGAATAAACACAAGAAGGACTTTGTGCCGGCTGTACGATGCCCGCCTGCTCGTGTCTTGGCGGCGGCCGGCGGGGAGGCGTGTTCAAAGACCATGAATCAGTGGGTGAGGGAAGGGAGGCCGACGAAAGCCATTGAGCTCGTCAAGTTTGTTAAAGATTTGAGGAAGTACCGGCGATACAAACACGCCCTTGAGGTCCGTTTTCTTCCTCCTCCCTTTTTTTTCGTTATTTCAGGAGTTTTTTTTTATAATTTAATTCAGTCAAAATTTTGTGGGCGCTGAGATTGAGATATTTTGCGCGTTATATTAGCTTGTGGCCCTGCTCACGGTTGCAATCAGATGATTTGAAACATAAACGATAGTTACCACTGTATAATAAGTGCCGTTCTGACTACGCGGAAGCAAACATTTCCTCATTGAGGGTTACCTTTTGATGTTCGCTAAGACTTACTCTTGTGTCAAGCCTATCGAATTACTAGTTACATAGGAGACTCCAAAGATTTCTGGTGTCTCGACTCCCTTGGCATGCATAACTAGACAATGTGGTGTGTTACATCTACATGCTAATTTAAACCAGGGGCGATGATCTCAAAAAACAAGAGCCGGCCCCGCCCCCCCGTCCCCAAGTACTGCATGGCCAAATCGTTGGCATGCATACTTGTATAATGTGGTGGTTACATTTACATGCTAATTTAAACTAGAGGTGTTGAACAGAAAAAAATTATAGCATATGCTTTCTCAGGATGAACAATGTTGATTGTGGGTGGATCAATAATTATATCCTTTTTTGTGTGTGTCCGTGTGTGTTCTTCCAGTTACTTCTTTACTTTCTCTTTCTAAGTGTAGAAGGCTCATCGAAGAAGTTTTGAATTTGTTTAATTACCCAAAAACTTTCTTTTTCATTTTCTTCAAGAATTGTGAATCAGCACTATATTGAAAGAATGTACAGAACAATTTAATTACCTTTTTTTGGGGAGTAATTTGCTAACCGTAATGGTGGCTGTGGAATCTTTGTTGCTAGTTAAGCTCTAGAACCATTGCTTCCAATGCCTTTTGCCTCCATATAGTGCCACGCTCTCATATGTACCTGCGCAGACTATTGTCCTGATTTATCCGATGCTACTTTTTAGTAGATAACTCTTAATAAACAATGAGAACTTCTGTGATATCTATACTTTGTGCCTTTTCTTTTACCAGACAAACAATCTTGTCTTCATGAAATTAGATCGGTGAGGGCACAAAAAAGATCAATATTCTCTTTCATGATTACTTGTACAGTTGCACCTCTTTTATATCTCCCAACTTTTTGAGGCAGTCTCTTATCAACACATTTTTTTTGTTATTTTACTGTACAGCTGATGGATTGGATGGTTAAGATAAAAGGCATGAACTTGTCCTACACCAACCATGCAATACGAATTGACCTCATGTCAAAAGTCAAGGGGATCGAATCAGCAGAGGACTACTTCTCTAAACTCCCAGAAAATGCCAAGCAAGAACAAACATATGGAGCTCTCTTTAGCTGTTACTGTACAGAGAAAATGCTGGACAAAGCCCTTTCCCTTTACAAGAAGATGAAGGAACTCGGCTTTGCCTCCAATAATTTGCTACACAACAACTTGATGGGCCTCTACATGAAGTTAGAACAACCTGAGAAGGTCCCTATCATATTGAAAGAGATGAAGGCAAATAATTTAGTCCCTGATAATGTCACTTACTGCATAGTTATGAACAGCTATGCGGCACTAAATGACATTGACTCAGTTGAGAGAGTAATACAAGAAATGGAGGATGATGAGAACAGCGTCATACAATGGAATGCTTACAGTACATTGGCATCTATCTATATATCAGCTGGTCATTTTGAGAAAGCTGAGTCAGCCCTCAAGAAGCTCGAGGGACTTATTGATAGCCGTGAGCGTTTGCCTTTCCATTTCCTTATAAGCTTATATGCAAGCACAGGGAATTTGGAAGAGATTAATAGGGTATGGAAATCACTGAAAGCAACATTTGTCAAGTGCACTAACATGAGCTATCTCACAATGCTTCAGGCTCTGAATAAGCTGGACGATATTGAAGGTATGAAGCAGATTTACGAGGAATGGGAGTTGATTCATGAGACATATGATTCGAGGCTGACCAATGTCTTGATTAGCTGTTATTTAAGAAATGATATGATTGAAGAAGCTGACTCTCTGTATATGAAGACTAAAGATAAACAAGGGAAACTTGATTTCAGGACGTGCGAGCTGTTCATGGATTACTACTTGAAGAAAAATGAGACAGGCTCAGCTATGGAGTGGCTGGAGATTGCAAGCAGGATGGCTGAAGATGGAGAGTGGAAATTGAATCTAGAAAAGGTAAGCCTATTCCTGCAGCATTACGAGAAAGAAAAAGATGCAGACGGCATAGAGAAGTTCTGTAAGATTCTGAAGAAGCTCAACTGTCTTGGCTCTGGTGCATATAAGTCGCTGATACATATTTATGCAGCAACTGATAAAAAGGATCCTTCACTCTGTAAGTGGATAAAAGAGGAGAAGATCGAGCTGGACCCTGAAACACAAAAGTTACTTGATAAAGCATGTGCCAGTAAATAGTGTCGGCTTAATATCTAGGAGCATGAGAGGAAGAAAGTAAAATCAATTCTACACACATTTCGTGCAACCATCAAGAAACCTTCTCTCCTCTTGCAGTATAGGATCAGGGAGATGTTCATTGCTGCTGGAAGCTTGCTCAATTTCGTGTTCTGTGTTCTGAGAGTATGTCGTACTATATACTATAGCAACTAGCTCTGGAGGCTTTTGTATATGCAATGTTGACCATGGATTTTACCTTGTTATTGTTGTCGTCCTTCCTCTCTTCATGTGAGAACATCATTGTTGTTTTCCTTCCCTTTTTTCATGTGAGAACATCATTGTGAAATGAAAAGTTATGTTTCTAATTTGAAACTATTGCATTTTTAGTGATATTTTATTTTAAACTTTTTCATGTTCAACAGCTTTTTTCTTCAAATTTATTACGCACTAATGCCCTTTTTTTCTGTTGCTTATGTCGTTTTTGCGGCTAATTGGCAATTACACCCATTGTTTCACTTAATTTCACTCGCATGCCCTCAAAGTTTGCTCCAAATAGAAGTGAACGGTGGTATTTTTCATAAAAAGATGATAATATCCTTGATTAAATAAACGCCTAGCACTACTCTTTCCAAATATATCAGGTATTTATAAGTCCGATATCTGTCATGTGACAATAATATGAGAATATTTTAAGGAATATTCTAACGACTGTATGACTAAAGGTGCTACATGCTATTAAAAAAAACTGTAGGGTATGAAAGTGCGATGATATACAATTGAGGATGTGTATGTACGTAAAAGTAGGGGAAACTTTGAGGTATTAAGTGCCACTTGGCCTTTTTCCCAGCGGTTTCTTGGGTTAAAGCAAAAAAATGTGAAGAAAAAATTGATGAAAATTAAAAATTTACAGAATACTGAGCTAGTAAGGCATCAAGAAGAATCTAATATTTTCTGTCGATATGTACATACCTAGAATTTATATGATTAGTGTAAGCAAGATTAATTTCAAAAGCAGAAAAACACCATAATAAATTAGTCTGAAGCATCTTATAGTGAATACAACAACTTATCGTAGATACTAATCCACTAAGGCGCTGCAAAATTTTCTACAATCTAAAAACGAGCAGCAAGTAGAAGCTAAATAATCAATTGGCGCAATTACAATTACGCACGGTAATTCTACAGGTTATGGACACATTAACAAATTATCTTAATATACAGCTATACATCACAGTTTCTGACAGAATACTGTCATTAATTAACTTATGAATATAAGTTGGCATAAGATGGGAATTTACAACCAAATAATTCTTGGAAACTCTTCTTTATGCAGTATGAACCAGATAATGGATGGTTAAGGCCGAGAGACGAAGGATTTCCTTTCTGGCCTCCACAACCTCCTGCTTGATTTGATTTTGTGAGGTTCCGATACTATCAGCTGGGAATCCAGTTTTGAAGCATCAAGATTTAACTTATCTTGGATAAAAGCATCCAAGTCAAATTCACTCATTTGAAGACCTACATTGCCTTCATTTACCAAGTTAATGTGATCGATCACCTGAGAAGATGAACCAGTTGAAGCATCAGTCTCTCCCTCCAGTCTTCTTAATATTTCCTTCCCCTTGGAATCTGAGTTTTGACCCAAGTTTAGGAGTCTCTTTATGCTATCAAGAGCCGGATCAAAAATGTCGAGAAAACCCATAACCCATGAAGCATCATCCACCACTTCCGTACGCTATAAAACAATAGATGATAAGGGGTGTTAGTTGCAAGAAAAAATTATAATGCAAGGAGAAAAGGAGAGAAAAGTGCTCAATAGAGAATGCAGCAGAATACGGAAATAAAAAATATATCGATTATCATTCATAGATGAAGAATTGATAAGCAAAAGTATATAAAAAAAGGAAATAATCGTATACTGGTAAAGAAAGGATAACTAGATCACTTAATCATTTCTTTTGCGACTCCAATATTTTCGCTAATTGATATAGTATTCTTTGGAATATATTTTGTGTACATAGACTGAGTTCACAAAAGTTAGATACAACTCAGACTCTCAGAGAATGTCTTGCCTATGGAAATTTGGGAAATACAAATTTGCTGGGGCTCTTGTCAGTGTATTATGCATATTCCAGCAGAAACTTTCAATTGCAGTATGGACAAATTAAAGTCACAAGGACAAGGATATAATCGAAAATGGCATTAGAAATAGAATGGGAATATTATTCCTTATAAAAAGTTTAACAAATTTATAAAAAACATTTGGTATGATTCCTAAAACACCTTTCAGATTCACAAAGTCAATCAAACTAAGAGGCTAGGACTTGCTACCTAGTGTTTTAGCATATAACTAGATTCTTAAAGCATTTAAAAGAACACACTTCGTCTTAAGTAAACACCATGAGAAAATATCAAACAAGGCATGAAAATAAACCTGATATATGCTTAATGCAAAGAAATCTAAACCGGAGCTACCCATACTAAACTTAGGAAACTGACTTTGCACTCAATGCCTATTCGGTTTAACAATTAGCATGGTAGAGTTTGCAATCAGACAAAGTCTATCATATGTTACATTGTTATTTATGTTTTTCCAACATTTGTTGTTTTAAATGCCTGCAGCCTTAACTAGAAAGCCCATCCAATCAAGTTTTCTTTTAGATAGCATCATGGTTCATGAAAGCTCAACAAATAAAGATCTGAATTCCTGGATAAGGCAACTTCCAGTGAGAGGGAAGCTTACCATGAAAACAAGGATTTTTTTGGGGGGGAAACCATGCATAAAAGCTCGACAAAAAGTGTCTTTAAGCAGATATGTACAAAGACAAAAGATGTAAATTTTAACAGTACAAAACGAAAATCAACTTTAAGATGAAAATTCTTAGATGATGGCCAAATTATATCCGAGTACAAATTTATTAATCTACTAAAAGTTTAACTTTTAGTGGAACTCTCGAGTCTTGAGGTATATGCTTGAAGAATAACACAGATTCGAAGTTAAAATCTAGCTGTGGAAATTTCTTCCAATGAATGAGAAATCAATTGGTTATAAATGCATTACTGTTTGAGGACTTATCCAACAACATGATTATTAAAAGATAATGCCAGGAAAAAGCATAGCAAAACTAACCTGCTGAAAGTATAAATTTCGAATTTCTTCAGCCCTAATAGGATTTCCTTGGTCCTCCTCCAGTGATGCCCATGTCATCCATGTAACATAACTTTGAGAATTTATGTTCAATGATGACCTAAACAATCTTCTAGCTGCTGATAATTTACCAGCCCTCTGTTCTAAGACGCCCCAAGCCTGCAAGACATATCAAATATGGTATTATTTAAAACTGTTTGAACTTAGTAAACTTAATTAAGAAAAAGACTTTTCAAAAGAAATTATGAGTAATCAGAATGCTGTGGGTAGCTAATTTAGTCCCAAAAGACATAAAAAAGATGTATTAGTGAAATAGGAGATTCTGCTCTCCAAACACAAAACAAACACACATGCGGCCTTTCATAAGACCTCCACACAAACTAAAAGCAACAAATTCTTCGCAAAATTTGCATTCTGATTTATTCTTGAAGTAAGATAAAGAGGCTCATTAAGTTCTACGACATTGCTGTGCCTCAGATTAATGCTTTTCCTTAAAGCAAATGATATATTGTTTTACCATATCATTTATACTATTTAATACTCCAGGAGAATTTAAATGATTGATACTAGGTTGTGCAGGAATTTAAGTTTATCCTACCTTACATGTACCTGTCAAATTTCTGTAACATGGTCCTCTTTCTAGTGGTTATCGGCTGGAAAATGAACCAAATTATAGATGGTTAATTTTCAGCCTACCTTTCTCAATATGACCCAGGATCTCCAGACAAGACATCTATGGGAAAGGTCTAGATGATTATGGTTTAGTATTCCTGCCATGAGCATAGTCTTCAACACATACCATTTAAATAACAAAGTGGACTATGTACAAATAGTAAGAGAAACAAGAATCTTCCTAAATCCTAATGTAGAAACTACCCAGAAAGGATGTATCATGATCCTCCCACTGAAAAGTTTTCATGATTGAGCAAGTGATTTTAGGAAGACGTCTGTTCTTTGCAATTCTGTTACAATGGATAGAGGTAAAGCAAATGATGTTATCATTATGAGCATCTAACATAATTGGCGACATATCAAATTTCAGATAACTTTAGTAGTAGAACTTCGCCTCGAAATTACATGATATTCCAGTAAATTGCTATAGAAGATCTTTAGGCTGCAGTGTAAGGTATTAAAAATAGTGTAAGAAAATGAACCACGTGAAAAAGGAAAAGAAAGACAAATTTCTTCTTCACCTTTGCAGTTTGCAGCACTACCTATATAGGAAAAGTTGCAGTAAACGGGTACTGATAGTAAAGCGGCTTACTGACTCATTCATTTCCTGGGCATCAAACAAGCCATTAGCAATTCACATCTTAACATAAAGCACAGAGAATCTCCTCTAGGATGAAATGGGTTCTGTGAGTTAAGATAAGCAATTGGTAATACAACTGTAAAATTCACAACGAAAGATCGAGACCAGTGATTAATCATCTGCAGGAGTTAGTTGACCAGCAGAGAGCTAGAGACAGCAAGGGTAGAAGGGTTAAACCTGTCAGTAGTGTTGGATAGGGAATTCCTAATCTATTTTGGTAACATAAGGTTATTAGGATTCCTATTCTATTTTGGTAACATGAGGTTATTAGGATTCCTAATCTATTTTGGTAATAGGTTATTAGAATTCCTAATTTGATTTGGTTTTGGTTTAGAATTCCTAGTATGTTTATGATTTTAGGATTTCTATATATATGGAACAATTGGAAGAGAAAATTGGTGGAGAAGAAAAATTAGGGATATTTGGAGCACAGAAAAGAGGTATTTTCTGAGCTATTTGTTTAGGGTTTTGTTTGGAGCGATTAAGAGCTTGTTGGTGAGATTAATTTGTTCCTTCGAGTGATTTGTAATCTCAGTTTGTACTCTTTCTCTATTAGTGAAAACCCCATCCCCTTCTTGCCCCGTGGACGTAGGCAATTGCCGAACCACGTAAAACTATTGTGTTTGGATTTGTGCCGTTGTTTTGATTTGTTTGGCTTTTATCTCGACGTTTGTTTGATTTGGTTCTCGAAGCACGCCCGTTTGGTTGTCACGCTTCCGCGACGCGCACAACAATTGGTATCAGAGCTCGGGCTACGCTTGGGCTGTTTGGAGGAGTAGATCAATTTAGAAGTTCGACTAGGGCTTCGTTTGGTGAGAAAAGTGGGATCTTTTTGGTAAAGACTCTATCTTTTTTAGTTTGGATCTATTCTTCGTTTATTCCGTATTGGTTTGTTGGTGCTTGGGCTATTTGGAGGAGTAGATCGCTTTGGAGGCTCTTCGAGGGCTTCGTTTGGAGATAAAGGTGAGATTTTTCCTATTTGTGGATCTCGTTGCCGTCGTGCGGGGTGAGATCATTTGGAGACTCTTGTTAGGGTTTCATTTGGAGGTAAAATTCTCTTCTTTATCAGTTTGGATCTGTTCTTCATTTGTTGGTACTTTGAGATAGTTGGCCGAGATAGAAGGATTTGAGGCTGGGTTATTTGTTTATTGATACGGTGCATTGGATTATTGAGAAGTGCCCTTGACCTGCATATTAAAATCCTTTTGAGCACGTTGGTATGAGCAAGGAAACCGAGGTGGAGTTTGGCACTTCTATTTGATGATTGAGGGGTCTTCTATTTGGTGTTCATTCAGGCATTTAGGGGCCTTCCAAAAAGGCATCATTGGAAGGTAAATTGGTATTTTGGTTTTCTATGTTGGGGATTGTACTAGGCATTTATGGGTTGTAACCAAATCCCGTTGGTTTTGAAGTCCTAGTAGTCAACAACAATTGAAGAAGTGTATTGGGAGTAAGGTGAAGGTACTTCATTCTGGTTGTAGAAGGAGGTACAAGAGGGACCTACTGTATTTGTGTCGAGCTCATGGCAGTTTGAGACACTTTATTAGAGAGGAAACATTAGAGCGATGAGATGAGATGACAGTTTCGATGGGTCGTTCCTTTCTGAAGGGGGATCGGCGTTTGATGTCGAGCATTGACATTGGTGTGCGGGCTTCGACATATTTGGGTCATCTTATGCATAGGTTGCCGACTGATGCATTAGGAGTTATTGGATCTGGTGGAGCTGCTTTAGATTTTGGTTGGCGTCGGATATTTGGTTGCCCAGTATTTGGTCACATCGAGGATGTGAGATTTGATCCGATTGAGCGTTTGGGATTCGGAGGTTCATTTGATTATTTGTTGGGAGCTTCTGATTTTGTTCTGAGCAGGAATATCACTTTTGACTCTCAGCAGGTGAAGAGTGTTGATCAGGTCGTTTGGATATCGCAGCAGGTGGAGGGTGATGCTACTCCACGTTGGGTGGAGTTTACTCTACATACTTCAGATCATACTATATCGTTTGGGATTCCAGCTGAAGTGACACAGATTGGAGATCATTTGGATTTGGATGCAGATGATATTGGCGAAGAGTTGCAGACTTTTCTATTTGTTTGAGGGCCTTTGGAGGCCATTTGGGTGAACTACGTGAATGCTTGATTCCTTGGGCAGGAGGATACGTAGGCAGTCAGTTTTGATGCAGCCGATTTGGTGAAGGATATACCAGTCATCTCTGAGATGGTTTGACCGCCTTATCGATGATGTCAGCTGTTTGTTGCCGTCTGTCGGTACGCTCTGTGTCTAACCAAACGGGCGTGCTTCGAGAACCAAATCATATACAAACTGTCTGGATAAAGCCAAACAAATCAAAAAACGCACAAATCAAACACAAATAGTTTTACCGTGTTCGGCAATTGCCTACGCCCACGGTTGGCAAGTGAAGGGGATGGGGTTTTCATCTAATAGAGAAAAGAGTACAAACTGAGATTGACAATATCACTCGAAGGAATAAACTATCTCACCAACTAGGGCCAATCTTATATCTCTCCAAATCAAAACCCTAAACAAATAGCTCAGAAATACTCTTTTCTGTGCTCCAAATATCCCCAATTTTTTTTCTCCACCAATTTTCTCTTCCAATTGTTCATATATATTAGGAAATCTAAATCATAAACATATTAGGAATTCTAAACTAAAACCAAATCAAATTAGGGAATCCTATAATTATACCTAAAATTAGATTATGAATCCTAAATATACCTCATTTGTTTACAAAATAGAATATGAATTACCTAATAACCCTTTATGTTTACCCTAATAATAGATTTTATGGATTCTCTTATCCAACATTCTCCACTCCGGTCGAGTTTTCCCCTAATACTGAGTCCGTACACCGACCTATCTTAATGCCCTCACTTGTTTGCGTTCCATTACTGAAGTGAATTCGATCCACAAAACAAGACTCATATCCATTAACAACGTCGAGACCCAAACGTAGTGCGAAACTCACCTCCAAAACCGTAATCTAC